TTTCATTAGCAAACTTAATGTAATTATACAACGTGGATCAGATATGAATCATCATAAAAACGAATTGTGAGAAGTTGAACGAGATATAAATTAAGCGTCCTCCTTTACATTCAACTTAATGCGAATTTTTACAATCTAAATCCTCTCGCGCAATCCTGTCTCATAGCACACGATGCCGAGGGACCGTCGGTAAATTTTATCCCCGTTCCGCGCGAGCTGAATAGTTTGACATGCCATAATGTATCACACGTACTCTCCACACACGGCCATCATTGGCCAATACCGTAATTACTTGACGCAATTTGCATAACGCGCAAATACAATTTATGTTGCAACGGGCTAATGGTGCTTTGAATATTACATACTTTTCTTTGCTAAAACCGAAAACGATTATCGCTCGAACGTGAAATCGGCAACGCCGGTGTGTTTCACTGAGGATAACATTTTTTACGGGACGTTTAAGCATACGGGTGGATCTTACAAATCTCATAAAGGAAGAGAAAAAGATATATATATATATATATATATATATATATATATATATAGAACAAACACGGTTAATAAAGGCACTTAATGTTTCTTACAAACTACCTCATTAAGACAACCTCATGCGCTAATGACATTTTTCACTTTGTTAATAATACTTTACGAGCAGAATGCAATCACGCGTATCCAAACTAAAGAGCTTTCTTCTCGTACTCGCTAGATTTCGAGCTATTTTTCTTCTCTATGGTAGAAGCTATCGTGAGAATCCAATTGGAAAATTATCGGACTTCGAAGGGATGTAAATAGACCTCGCGCGAATGAAACTTGGCAATTAAGCTGTAAATGGTTAAAAATTTGACATATCGATTTAAAATTTATTCGCCGGCCGATGGTCTTTCGTGTGCGGGAAGGCAATATTTGGATAAAAACGCGAGCAATATATCATTTGGTTTGACTTATTCCATGTGACGCGCGAGCGCAAAGGAGGACGCATTGACGGTGTTTATCCGATCGTTCGTAACACGGCTAGCCGGTCTGAGACATGCACGTCACGCAACACGCGATGTCATCGGACACTACGAAATGTATATTCATCAACAACTACCGCACTTCGTGGTTAATGAACGAATTTACATTCGATTTGATAGAGCGAGACGAATTCACAGATTTTCTATGTTAAAACGACTTTTTTTGCACTTTATATTTTTTTCTTGCAAATTAGAACGAGAATTCGAATCTTGAAATTTTGATTGCACATTATACCCTCTTATCCAATTTAAACACCATAAATTATTTTATCTTGATGCAATAAATAGTAATTTTTTCCTAGTTTAATTGTCCTTAAAAAGGGCTTCAGAGTTATTTAACATTTTATTATCTTAATACATGTAATTAATATATAAGAATAAATAAAAGAACAAATGTTGTTTCTTCATAATCTATTATTTGTTGTTTTCATTGATGCTGAGAATGTGTAGAAATGTGTAGCTATTATTTATTGGCATTACGGCATTACTGTGTCGCTTAATACATCTCGAGATTTATGATGCATCGCTATTCGCTGCCTGACACATTCTATACATCCTCCGTCTTGGCTTTCCGACACAGCTTCCTGCTCCTGGTTGTTCTATCATGGCACTACGGATACTAGTCCGTAGCACTGACACTAATGTAACATACATTTCAAACAGAGAAACGCATGTTAATTAACCACGATGCCGACGAGAATCCGACTAAATATTTCAAAAGTCAGTAAAACATATTTGGCGTGAAATATAATGTAACGCTCCAGTTCTGAAAAAGTTTGCAACACGCGAAAGTACCAAAACAATTTGCAAAAATTTGAAGTCATCTCCTCGCATCGCCAACAGTCATCGCTCATCAATGAGGATGATCAAATTTATCTTTGTGTTTCGCGGATTTCTTCAGGTATTTCCATTTAACTCGCCAGACCGGCAAGCAACACGCACACAACGGACTATATGTGTCAGTACATTATTTATTGATCTTTCGTGATTAAACGGTTTCGTAAGATATTTCATTGATTTTTCATTGACATCGCATTATTTCATCTTTGACTGAATCGCGCGAATGTCAATACTACGATGGAGCAGTCAGGATGCTAGCTCGAGAAGCCAGCACGCGAGCAGCAATAGAAATAATTGCTGACTGAAAATAAGTGAAAAATAATTTATGGATGGAAGAAAGTTGAGTCTCGTATTTTACCGTTGGAGCAATTAGCTCGGCTTAATTGGGAGGAAAGGTTTTGCTTCTGTCTTACTCTCCAGTCATCGATCCTAGTTAGCGTTAGTTTAAAAAAATGACACAGCTAGTGAGACACGCTTTATGCGCCAACTTTCGGCTTATGCAGTTTTTCACACCTTTTAGAGACAAAATAAGGGAGAAAAGAGGCGAGATTTTGAAGAGCTTAATTAGTGGATAAAAGTTGCACACCTCGTCACTTGATTATTTTCTCCACACAAAAAGTAGTACGACTTAAAAACCGCAATTTTTTGTATTATTCCGTCGAGTACTATTCATCGACATTTCAAAGATATTCTTTGAGATTGCTCAGGAAAAGTGCCAAATTATTCAGCGTATCAAAGCCGTCCTTTCGCATTGATAGAATTAAAAGCTAAAAAAACACGAAATGTGTCTTTCTAACTCAAAATGGAAGATGGCAATGTACTTCGCTTTTTTTCGTTTCATCTTCTCTCGCAACTACGTTAACGTTATTTATTTATCCTGCCGTGCAGGTCGCACGGTCAAGGAGGAGCGTTTCGAGTGTAAGAAAGTCTTAACGACGTGCACCTACGTAAAAGGGAATGTCGCCGGGGGAACGACAGTAATAGGTGGGCCATGGAGGATGCGCCAGCAGCCGCGATAATAGTCGCCGCTGCTGCAAAATAAAAGGACGCTTAACGATCGGGTTCAACGCGGTAGACGACGCGACCGTACGGCACCGCCCGCGCTCACTCCTCCATCGTCATCTTTAGCTGTCGTAAAACACGGCGTGGAACGATGCGTCGTTTCTCGAAATGAGAGAGAATCGAGGTTGAGAGTGTGCGCGAGAGCTGCGAAACGCTGGCCTCGAAATAGAGCGAATCATGCACACACTCGCATTCGCACGCTCCGCCGAGATGCGAACATTTTATGACGCGTGACTCTCCGCGATCGTCGATCGAAATGCATTTCTATCGACACGATGAGACGAGACACGTCGAGTCGGACAAATTGTTCGACGTTTCTCGTAGTCGCAACAGAGATCACGTTCCCGTGATTACGTCGTCTTCACGTTGAAAGTCGACGACAAGACGTCGTAAATTAAGAGTGCTCTCGCCTACATGGAAGAGCGCGGAAACCGTGTGCTCATTTGACATAATTATTTCGACGTTCCTGTAGTTAGTGCTGAGCGTTTGGTTGATAACCGGTTTGTCAGAGCGACGTTTCAAAGGCATCACAATCATTCGTACACGAACACTCGTCGTTGCAAACTAAATTGTTGTCGTTATACGCTCGCGTTCGTTAATCACTGTGCGTAATTCTGCTGTTCTATTGGCAATCAAGGTATTTCGGCACGAATGACGATGTTAATATTTGTAATGCACCATATAGACGCTTCTAATTTGCGCTTATCACTCGGTAAATACCCATAATAATTATAAAGCGAAAGAGGGAGAGACGAGCAATGTTGTGAAAATATAATGCCTAAACATGCAGAAATGATGGTGTAAGTAACGGTATGAAAGTATCACTTCCACCGTCGTCTACCAGAAGCAAATACGATGATAGGCGTTAGTATTTATTGAAGTACATGTATTGATACAATTTAGCCGGAAACGTATACATAATCTCGTGAATATGCGAAACATCCAATGCATTACAAGCAAGCATATATTGGTAAATAATACATCGCAAACAATGTGTTCCAATTCAGATCAGATCGCTTAGAATGTAAGGAAAAGTACGAATCTAAACAAATTTCGCGGCCCTCGAGAACGTACAACATTGCGACTCTAGTTTTTGTTTCTGATTCTCCAGAAATGTCTTTAGAAATTTTTATACACTATCTCACTCTGTCACATGTTTTTCATTCATGAGATACAGAAAATATTTATGGTTTTCAAGATACAAAGTATCCGGTAAATGCGTAATGACGCAATCGATAAGTTTCACGATACCAGACGATGTTATCGCGAGAAATTTGGGGTCAAAAAATCTCATGAGATATTGAAACAAATCCGGTGACATGTACATCGCAACACAAAGTAATCGTGTGAAAAATAATTTCCTCAAAATGCAGTTCAGTTATTATCGTCCCATGATAAAGCGTGTCGAGTGTTTACATCTTCTAAAATGACAACAAATCTACATCGTCTAAATCTAAACATATCTTCATACTTAACAAAATTCTGTAATCTTAGTAAAATTTAGTAGAAAATCGTATACGTGTTTTGCGAGATACCTAAAAGTAAACGTGCGCGTGTTATTTTATTCAACAACCGTACTTGTTTGCGAACGAGCAACATAAGTGGTTCAAGCAATTCGTGCGTCAAACGCATAAGAACGGAGAATTGAGGAAATTCGATCAAAGTGCACAACGAAATTAGACGTGACAATGAAAGACAAGCTTTGTTTTTCCTGCGTATAATCGCATTTAATTTCCGTTTGCAAAAGCAATATCGCTCAGATTTCTCTCTATTTTTGATTCTCATCATATATATCATTATACGCCGTATAAAACGTGCATGTAATATATATATATATATATATATATATATATATATATATATATATATATA